TCTCAGGAATATTTCCGGACAGCCGCGGCAAACCTGGAGCGCACCTTGAACCAACACATATAGAGAATGCCACATGATATGGCCCTAGAAGTTTACGGCAAGCCCGTCAATCCATCGCTACAACGCTCCCGTTGGGGTTGCTTCAATGTTGTGTTTGAAGTAGTACTACGATTACTGCTACTAGGACGACGACTGCTGCTTCTGCTGCCCCTACCGCCACGGCCTCTGCTACTGCTACTGCTACTCTACTGCTACTGCCACTGCTCCTCCTACCCCGCCTGCGCCTCCTGCTCATTCTCCTATTCGTACTCCTACTACTTCTACCAGGTTACTACCACCACCACTTCTACTAATTACACTACCACTACTACTACTACTACTACTACTACTACTACTACTACTACTACTACTACCACTACTACTACTACTACTACTACTACTACTACTACTACTACTACTACTACTACTACTACTACTACTACTACTACTACTACTACTACTACTACTACTACTACTACTACTACTACTACTACTACTACTACTACTACTACTACTACTACTACTACTACTACTACTACTACTACTACTACTACTACTACTACTACTACTACTACTACTACTACTACTACTACTACTACTACTACTACTACTACTACTACTACTACTACTACTACTACTACTACTACTACTACTACTACTACTACTACTACTACTACTACTACTACTACTACTACTACTACTACTACTACTACTACTACTACTACTACTACTACTACTACTACTACTACTACTACTACTACTACTACTACTACTACTACTACTACTACTACTACTACTACTACTACTACTACTACTACTACTACTACTACTACTACTACTACTACTACTACTACTACTACTACTACTACTACTACTACTACTACTACTACTACTACTACACTACTACTACTACTACTACTACTACTACTACTACTACTACTACTACTACTGCTGCTACTGCTGCTACTGCTGCTACTGCTACTACTGCTACTGCTACTACTACTTACTACTATTACTGCTACTGCTACTGCTACTGCTACTGCTACTGCTACTACAGTACTCCTGCTGCTGCTACTACTACTACTGCTGCGGCTACTACTACTTACTCCACTACTTGTGCGTCTGGCACTAGTCGTGCCACTAGTAGATCGTCTACTAGTAATAGTAGTGCATTATACTACCTGCACTATCAGTTTTATACATATATCTATCTAACACTGTTGCACTACAACTGCAAGCATTACTGCTAGTAGCAGCACAAGTTGCATTCTCAAGGATTCACAGGCAAAGCGAATTTGTCGGTCAGTTCAACAAGAGCCTTACACTTGCTGCATGCCAGGGTTTAGAGACGCTTGGAGTACAGGCTGGAGATCTGGTGTATTTGGGACGGGGGACTTTGTGAAATACGGGTTCTTATCTCGAATCGTGAACCACAAGCCTCCACCCTGACACTGAACAAACTTGGCATCCAAAAGCCAGGCAAGCTCCGAGGAGGCAGTTGCAAAGCAGCTGCAGGTCGGGTTCAGAAGGGTTTGGGATTGTGCCGGGTTGATAAGCGACGGGTCCTCCAATCAGTTTGGTGAGGTACGTTTAAATGCCGGTGACAGTCTCGCAAACGCTGCTTCTTTGTTTGGTCTCCAGTCCTTGCAGCATTATTTGGACGCAGGAGTGCAGACGTAAGCCTTTGTCGGTGCTGGATCTTTTGAGATTGCGAGGCATTTGGTTTAAACTAGAGAGAGAACCGAGCTCCGATATGCGCTGCATATTGCCGTGGGCCTGCAAGAACCCCTGCACTCGAATCACGGGCCCTCGACACCTTGACCGGTCTGAACTTGCGGGATTTACAGGTTTTGCGGGTTTCGGAGGAGTTGGTTCTGCAGGGTGAGGCGTTGTTTTAGTCAATGCATTTATTGAGTTGCATGGTTCACATTGTGGTTTAAGCGGTTTGAGGCTTTTGTTCCGAGTCCGAGATGAATCCCTTGAGCTGCGGCTGCAGGCTCCCTTCACGGTCGACACCGTGCACGTGAAAGGTGCCCTGCATGTGTTTTTGAAGGTTTAGGGTTTCAGACCCACGGTGAATGGCATAAGCGGCGTCCAGTTTCAATTTCCGAGGTTGTCTCCTAATCTTCACATAGCAAACACAGCACAGTTTTGTGTCATAATTAGGTATATGTATACATACATCAACTTCAGATTTCGGCTGTAATTTCTGAAAGTTGAGTAACGTGCGAACTCCATCATGTGCTAGCCCAAACAGGGTTCGCGTTCGCCTGAAAATGAGAAGATATTCTATAGAGGCCAATGTAACTCAAGTTAGAATGTGGTGGCGCACAATCAACCCCGACCTTGAGCCGAACTCCGAGTCCTCAAGGTCTTAAGCTTCGAACCAAACGCAAACAGGTCAGGGCTTGGGACGTAGGCAAGAGGGCTTTACGCAGCCGAACGCTTGCAATATTACTCGGACCTGAAGTCCTGGGCCTGACGTTTAAGCAGCAGGACGGTCCCTCACCTGATGTGTGTACTTTTCGAAACCTCCGAATCCCAAGAAGACTCGTTGCTTCAAGCGTTTTAGACTGCTTTCAGTAGGCATTTATTGGCCCATGAAACCTGTCGCCCCCATGCCCCTTAAACAGTGGGTCTTTACCCAAGCCCCACGGAAACGCATGGGATTTACACTCTTCGCCCGGACCGCAACTCGGCTAGTCAGGTACGTGATACTGAAGGATGTCGTTTGGGAGCTACCCTAAGGAATGTTGGTGACTGTCTTTGTCTTTGGATGCCCTCTTGAGGAGTTGAGTCAAAAGACAGTCCTGCTTCAGGTGGATTCAAGAACCCTTCACTGAACACGGTCTTCTACCTGGATCCGCACTTGCAGATAGGCCAGGCTGCTGAGAAGCCAGCAGTTCGTAGCGCTCAGGGCTCGGGGCTTGTTTAGGATGTGGGGTTTTGCATGGTTCAGAGGCATCTATGCAGTGATTGGCTCCAAGTGCTTGTTTGGGTGAAAAAGGGGTTTGTATCCATATAAAATTCCTTCCGACAACACTCGGGCGACAATCCTCACAGTGTTTATGTGGTAGATTTGCACAGGTGTGTGGATCACGTGGCTGTCGTCGTTCAGCTTTGAAACCTTCGCTGGCCGTTCTGCACTATATCTATATCTATATCTATATATATATATATATATATATATGTATGCATGCTTGCGTGCATGTATGGACATATTATATATATATATATACATATATATATATACATATATATATATATATATATATATATATATATGCTTCTATGATAGAGAGGACTGTGCGGCATGTTATTATGGTATGGTCTTATCTAAATCATCGTCGCGTCCGTTCAACAAGCGATTGTAGAGGACTGCAGTGCTTCGGGTCGCTGGCATGACAAAACCCGTGAGTTGTTTGGGGCAGTTCGACACAGCCCCCGCAGTTGGTTTAGGATGATGATTGTCAGAACGTAGCTAGATGGTTAGATTTCGGGTCCCATTTTGGATCACGACATGGGTATACAAGCGCATCTCTTTTGGTCTGCAAGCCAAGATGTGAGCCGAGAGATTTAGAGATTCCACCGCCCGTACATGACCAGGATGCTAACCCTTCACTTTCGTGTGTTGATTCATTAATTCATCTCTACAGTGACGCTGTTCAGATCAAGGCCAAGGAGGTAGTCCAAAAGCCTTGTTTGATTTGTTCAGCATGTTTGCAAACCACAGCGTCACCATTCTAAATAGACTTGGCGACCCGAACCGATCGTCACGGAGGTAGCCTGTAATGTCTGTTCAGAAAAGTAAAAAAATACCCATGTCTAAAAATCGTCACCGTATAAGGCGCCATGGTCCACCTTAGTTCCTCCCCAGCGAGTCTAGTTGGGCCTTGATGGGAAATCTAAACCTGAAGAATTGAGCCCGTGTGTTATTGGTGAGCCAGGTTTGTGTAAACACTGCACTTGTTGTTTCTTGTCTGTGTATGCTGCTAGCAAGGCTTGGGTTAGGATTAATAAATGAAAGTTCGTGTGCTACATCTGGCACTGCAGACCTGAACTCGTACAAATTGCATATTGCTTTGTTGGTGTCGGTGGGATTTTCTTCGGTCTTCAGGCAGTCGCGCGACCTATTGGGATGACAGCAGACGGTGGTTCATGTACTACCAGGCTCAGGGACCTTCAAGGGTTCATGTAGTTAGCTGCTTATGGTTCATCTAAAGTTCAGGGTTCGCGCAGGGTGCATGTATGGTTTAGGCCTGAAGGTGAGACATCGAGGCTTCGATGTGAGAGTTCGAGTGTTGGGATTTTCGAAGCAGGGTGGACTGTTCTTGGGAAGGTTTCCCTTTCGACCCTAAGTGCACCGGCAGAAAGGCACCTAGCTTAGAACATGCGAAATGCGCTTCTTTCTGCATGCTTGTGTCATATTGTTGCACTGCTTTGCTGCACTTTGCGAACAGATGCGAACAGATTGTCATGGGCATCTGTCGTTGGAATTGCGATGTCACGCCTGCATGAAGAGATGAGGAGTTATACGGTTGCATCATCGGGTCAGTCCATTCGCTAGCCGAACGTGGTGCATCCTACCGCAGTAGTTCAGTTCAGTGAACACGCTCCAATTGATTGTGCATGTTTGTTTCATTGTCTCTACCATGCATGTACCAAAGTTAGGTTCATCAAAGTAGAAGAACTTACTAATGTCCTGGTTCGGGTCACCAAGACTAGTTGCACGTTGCACTCGCGATCTTGGCATTCTCTCGTCTGGTTGCCTTTAACCCTCAATCCAAAAGCCACTGCGTTAACCCGAAGCGGTGAGCTCTCGAACCTTGTCGTTCGGCGTCCGAGCTTTCCTGCAGCGGTCTTGCACACCAACACCCTGTGGCAATCTGTTGCGAAGCTGCGAAGCCTCTTCTTTGCTCTTGAGAACCTATGTGCAGCAGTAGTGTTTGTGTTGATTCATAGCAGTGGAGTCCCTAATTGCCGTTTGCATACCTAGCTCTGGCCTCTCAGGCCCCGATGAAGCGATGGGCCATCAGCATCCGGGATGCCTCAACAGGCAGTGCTTAGGGTTCAGGTTCCGGGGTATTGAGTTTTGGATTCAGGTTCCGTGTAGGGCCTAGGGTTCAGGGCTCCGGGGCAGCTCGGATAGCGCTTTAATTCGATGTTTACAAAGGCGTGAATCCGCAATTGGTCTTCCGCAGTCGGTACATAAAGATGTGGGTGAGCGAGGGAATGAGTCAGGTTTTATGTGTTTTCTTCGAAGCCTCAGGCAGCCACAAATATGCTTAATATGTTTTGTGCATTTAAACAAGCAGTGCATGCATGTATTTGTTGTATTGTACAGTACAACTGTATTGTACAGTCATGTACAGTATTGTGTTGGATTGTATGTACGTACGTACGTAGGTATTTATGTACGTATGTATGTATGTATGTATGTATATGAATGCACACACATACATCCACCTGTATATGTGTATACCGTCGTGTTCGACATACGTATGTATGTGTACGTGCACACACACACACATGCATATGCATGCATGTAAGTATACATCATACATGTACATATATGTGCTACACTCAATATGTCAACACATATTTACCAATGTTTCCGTCCATTTGTCCTGTCTTATTCTGCACTGTAATTAAGCTTGCTCTCTGCGTGCGTGATTCAGTCGCTTGAAGAGTGCATAATCACAACTTTGAATGTCTGCTTCTGATTCTCGTTTATACGGTTAGAGCTTCATAAGACTTTGTGGCGCCACGGTCTAACAAACCCGCCACAGTCTGAAACCCAGTTTTTGGGTTGAGGGTGTTGGCTTCAAGGTTCCGGGTTCAAGCTGTGTATATACTGTTCAGGTTTCAGGGGTCGCTGGTTCGGGACCACCTCTCACGACTCATGGGCATAAGCTGCCTCATACGGACAGCCACGAACAACAGGCATGCTAGTGCTTGGGGTTTCAATACATGTGTTCTGCACGCTGATCAACATGTATTGTGCGTTGATGGCACGCGAGCCCAATTGCTGCCAGAAGCTGGCCATTGCTTCACTGACTTGTTTTATGGTCTGGAGTCGTAGTGCACTTAGTTCGTTCATGTGGTCTCCACCCTTATCTCCACCCTTATTCGTACTAGTGAAGACGATCATGATGGTGATTGTTTGAGTCATTAAATCTGCCGAGCTTGCTTGTTATTACCATCAGCCATGGAGCCCTCAGCGAAGAGGGCCAAGCTCGTACACGATGGTGGCATGGAGCTGCATGAGGTCCAGTGCCATGAGGACGTGAGGGATTTACTTCGGTGGATGGGGCATGGTGGCCTGATCCACGTGACGCTGGCGATGAGCCAAGACATCGGATTTAACTGGCAAAGCTTGCATCCCAAGATAGCAGTGCAGCTGTTCTTTCAGAGATATTGTGGCCTCATGATGGGGATGGAGGCTCAATATGAGTACATTTGCGACACAGTGGCATGGCCCGAAACGGGATACATCTCAAGCCTGGTCACCAAAGGCTTTTACGATAGCTTGAGCTTCCGAGGAAAAGTTCGCCAGACGATCGCAGCTGCTGAAACCTCTGTAGCTCAGGTTTTCCTCAACCATCCCAGCATCATTGAGATAGCTTCAAGGTTGCCCCCGCCACTGCCAGATGTTCGACACCGGCTCCTGCTGACAAAGCCTCAGCGGGAAGCTTTGGCAGCAGCTGGCATGAATCTTGGTGGCTATTGGCTTTTGAGGTACTTGTGACTGTCGGGGCAAAACAAATTCAGGTGTTGGGCAAGGCTTGTGGGAGTCTTGCTGAACTTAGCACAATGGTCTGCAGAAGCAGCGGGTCTCATTTCCCGAAATCAGCCCACACGAAAGCAGATTCCGGAACATACATACTAGCCGCCGTCGTTTCATACTGTGCGTAAGTAATCCGCATAAACATGATCCATGCTGCTGCATACGCCCCGCCGCTTGGACCGAGATTCCCAAAAATCCTTGCCTTTGCAGCGTTGTGGGCAAGCAGATCCGGACTATCATCTTGACGGGGTGTGGGTGTGGGGGGTTGAGTCAGCGCCGGGGCAGGACCTGAGGTGGCGTTGCCGACGGTTGAACGAGAGCCAGGCAAGCTTTCAGCCCAGTACAAGCCTCCAAACTGCGGCAAAGACTCGCCAAGGAGCTGGGAGGCTCTGCAGGAAGACATGGTGCAGAAGGTGTATCTTGGATTCCAGTCCATGGGCTGCCGCAGCCAACTCTGGGATGCAAGTGCCATTTAATTTGTGCATGCAAAATTGCTGCGCATGGGATTTGGATATTAAAGTTTAGGGCTCCGGACATTGCAGCAGCGATACAGTTTGCCACGACAGTTGGTAGCCTTGCTACTGAGTCTTTCAGCGGGTATTGATACGGGATGCTATGCTACATGCAAGTAGGCATGGGCTCGGTCCTGAGGATCTACTAATGCACGCGTGGTGGTGTGAGCTGTTTCGGGTTGACTTGGGAAGCCCGCCGGTCCGAGCTGGCACCTCGCGAGGTCACCTTGACCTGAACACTCCAAGAGCCCACTGTGGTCCTAAAATGTGTATCTATACAAGACTTGATTCCCTAACTTCCTGGATAGCAATCCTCCGAGTCTCCTGGTGAGCTCATAATCAATAGTAGCCGGTGGCAGCCACATGTCGCACAGTTCGACATGGCATCTTGCATGGCAAAATGCAGTGGGTCTTTGTCAGGTTTCCTTTGTTGGGGGGGATATCAACCGATCTCAGTTACCCTATTATATCCACGGATCCAGGGGTCATATTGTTGGCGTCCTGATTATTTTACATTATGTCGAAGTCTGGAACGCGCGATCAAATGCTTGAGAGGGGTCCCGTAGTGTTCCGTCGTGCCTCGGAGGGTTTGGAAGGCTTCTCAAAGGATTCTGGCAGCGCTTGCTGGGATTCCTGGCGAATATAGTTGCTTGCATCGGTTTCTGGCCCGCGTGTGTTGGGGGGTTGCAGCCGTCCACGGGCTTGGAGACTTGAAAGTGCAAGCGCTTTGGGTCCCTTGCTGCAGGGTTTGCAAATTCCGGAGTAAGACACGTCATTTGAACAACCGGTTTGGCAAGGGTTGACTCCGGCAAGCAAGCACCGCACAGACCTGGTGGTGAAATGTAGGGTCAACGGTCACCCCACATGTGTAGTACGACCGAAAGCTTGCATCTGAAACCTCCAACTTGGAAGCCCCGAGCTCCACCGTAACTATAATGTAGTACTGCTATGTTGTCGGTACAGGGCCTAGGCCCAATGACTTCGCATATACACGACACCTGCAACCTCAATTGCTGACCTTGTGACGACCCTGACGGCTGTAAACTCCCCATAGGCTCAACTAATGTTCACCATATTGTTGTGGGGTTCAGCAAAAATGCCGAAGATCTACATGCTAAGCCCTACCCATCAAGTCTTGAAGCAGGTGAGGATATGCTCGAGAATGCGAAAGGTGGTGGCCTGCACGCGACCAAGCTATTAAACCCCGACGAAGGTTAGTGGGTTTCGAGTCTGAGGGTTTTCAGTCGTCGTTGGGCATATAAGGCCGCTGCAAGGTTTCAGGGATATATGCGACTGAGCTCAGAGTTTTTTGCGATTGGGAGTTTTCGCTTTAGTTTTGGTGGGCTTCAAAACTCAAACGCGTGTAATTCAGCACAAGAGTCTTACCATTGAGCTCTAATTACGCGGTTTCTCAAAGTCGTACTTTCCGGATATCTGAAGTGTAATGTGAAGGGCTGACTAGTAAGAAACACGTCTCCTTCGGCCTCCCTATCATCAGCGTCCCAGTGCCGAGTCCACTTGTTCAGATTCCTGTATTATGTGCTTTCGTTGCTCAGGGTTCAGAAAGGTGACAGCACTCCGGCTCTAGCACGTTGAGTGTGCACGAGATTTTCGTCAGGTTTGTCCAAGCCGTTGTGATTGCTGCGGTTCTTTCGAGAACCTCCACAGGCAAGTTTGCCAGAACAGAGACCTTGGCTACCAAACCTGCCGTCCGATCTCAGGATCAGCAATCCGAAACCGTAAACATCCCTAAACCCGTAGCGATCTCCTCCGCCTTGCAGAGCCCTTGCTGTGGCAAACTTCTTGGTACGGTACCATGCAAACAAGCAGGCGCATACACGCACACGCCTGAAAGGTCCCGCTTGGGAATCACCGGGAAGACAAAATCCAACTCACGACGCCCTGAATCCTTTCACCCTTTGCACTACTTAACTTAGTTTCGCAGAATATATGAGTCTCTAAGGGTACCCGAAGCCCTAAGATCCTAAAGGTTTCAAGCATTAACCCCTGACTCTAATCCTCGGCAGGTGCGGCTTCGCTGTCGAGGCCCTTCGACTCTTTCTTGTGAGTTTTTGCGGGTCTATGGCTTCAGGGGTTGTCGGCTTCAAAACAGGTTCAGATTCACTTCACTGCCTTTAGGGTTGAGGTCTTGCACTTCCATTTGTGGGGTTTGTTGAGGGTTTGCCGGGAGTCGGCTATACGGCTTGCACTGGGTGTGGCAACCTGGTCTTTCAGAGGGTGCAGGGTACAAGACGAAAGGTTGGGTTTCAGGGTTTTGGTGTTCCGGGTTCAGGAGATATCAGGGATTAGTTGAGGGTTTCAAACTTTGAGCAGGCAGAGTGGGAAAGTCGAAGCGAGAGCAGGAAGTAAAGGAGCAAGGAGGTATCCTAAGCGCTTGATCTCTGGACCCTAACTCCACCACTAGGACCCAGAGTAGGCCCTTATTCCCTTTTTAAGGGTTTAGGTTCTCTTTTAACCCCCTTTAACCCAAAAAGGGCACCCTTTTTATTCCTCGGCTTCTCTTGGGTCTAGACCAATTTAACCAAAACGCTTACTGGATCTATGTAGACTCTGGCATAATTAAGGGGTTAGTTGAATTTTTACATACTGTTGCGCGTTTCCTGTGTTTGCACGAAGAGCGGCGAACAGGCAGGAAGGAAAGGTTGAAGAACAGACTCAAGACTGGCAGACCTCAAGACATAGGGACGTAGGGGTGCATGGGCTAGTGTGTTGTCAAAGGGTGCCATATTCGCCCAAAGCATGCGCGGAGCACATTCCGGCGATTCACTCCGTCTGACAAATTGTAAGTTAAGTGCAAGTCAACATGTACATGTGTATGTAAACGGGTATGGACACGTATGTAAATACATATATATATATGTATATATATATATATATATATATGTATTTACAGATGTGTGGAATTGTATGTGTATGTGGATATGGATGTGTATGTGTATGTGCAGAGTATGTGTACATGCATATGCATGTGTTCACGCACATGTGTATGTACATATATGTATATTATGTGTATGTATGTATGTCTGTATGTATGTACGTATGTATGTATGTATATATGTAACTGTATGTAAATGCATATAGTTGTATCTAGTTATGTAGGTATGCATGTATGTTCGCATGTAACTGTAAGCATGCATGCAGCGATGTATGTGTGTACGTATGTATGTACATATGCATATGTATGTGTATATATATATATGTAGTACTTACGCACATACATACCTACATATACACACACACTTACATGTGTTGGTGTATGTGGTAATTTCTAGACACACATTCATCCCTCTCCCCCCCTCTCTCTCTCTCTCTCTTTCGCCGTCTCTCTCTCTCTCTCTCTCTCTCTTGTTTTCTTTCGCTCGCTTCTATATTTCTTTGTCCGCATATGCAGCATATGTACGGCCTGGAGATGGTGAGCCGCTTCACTGAAATCCATCGTTAGCTGCCTCACCCTGGACATCATCGCTGCTCTGCCGTAAATCCTATCTCTTTGACAGAAATCAGGACCGGCACAGCTCCCAGACAGCGATCAGGTGTGCCATGGTGTGCTCAAAATTAGACCCTTCGCCCCCTCACGCGCGCCTAATTTCGGCGCACTTTGACAAATTGCCTGCCGCAAATTAGACCCTTTGCAGACAAATTAGGATCAACACAATCAAAGGATCCGGTTAAAGGGCCCCGAGACAGGCGTTCAGAAAAGTGCAGGTGGACAAGAACAGGAACGCGTGGCAGGAGTTCTTCGACGAGAAGTGGGTGACAGCCAGGGGCTTGTCAGTGCGGCTAAGGCGCATGTTTCGGGTTTGCAGGCTCAGTCTCCACGCTACACTTTGAAGAGAGATTGGACAGACACCCGGTTTAACTTCAAGCACGAAACGCCGCCACACTCAAAGGCATCCCAAACATGACGGGATTCAAGCATTGCCCCACACCCTGACCCCAGGCCGAAGCCTCAAGCCCAGAACTTTAGTTGCGTAAGTATCGTTTTTGCTGCAACTACTGACAATTCAGAGGAAGTCGGTCGAGGTCAAACGCATCCCCAAAGCCTGTAAGCCTGAAAACCTTAAACCCGCATTATGAGAGCGCAGATGCCACGACGAACAAGACGCGACCATCCGGACCACGGGGACTGCGACAGGACGACTGCGATCGCTTGAAGACCACCAGGCGACCGGGTGACCACTGGGAGCTTCCCGCAAGACCACCAGGACGACCAGCACTGCCACCCTCACACAGCGTTGGGTCGTGTACTGTGGGGATTCAACCTTGTATGCGCTGCCCAACAAGGGCTTGGGCGAGGCTTCTACTAAGTGTCCGAAGCCTCGAACACTGTCGACGCGGCACGCATGCCAAATCTTGAACGATTGGCAAGAGCCCTATAGATGTGAAACACCGATCGATTAATTATCAGGTACACCTCCGCAAGGCGAAGCCCAGAACGCGGAGCTCTCAACCCTAAGCTCGAAACCACGAAACGCCCAAACCCCATGTGGGGAGACCAGGGCGGATTCCAGGAAAAGGAAGCTACAACAAAGCACCCCACATAAAGCTGGCCTTGGACTTTGAGGTGGAGATCGACATAAGAAAGCTTTGCACCGGGAAGAGGGCGCCTCCTGCCGGAACCTTGCACTCTGAAGCCATGTTTTGGTGCTGTAGGGTTGACTTTTGGTGTTGAAAGTCCAGGTTACTCAGGTTTTGAAGGCCTAGGCTATTGAGCCTTTTGAGTTCGAGCAGGATCTCGGGGTTCAGGCTAAGCATGCTAAGCTACATGGGGTCAGGGTTGCAGTTTTCGGCCTCGAGGTGTCCAGGCTTCGAAGCTTGGTGTTTTTCGGATGGGTTTAGGATTATTAAACAGTTTCGGATTTAGGGTTGCGCGCTCTGTGCTTCCGGGTAATCTAACCGGTTATCGAGATGCAAATCTGTCTCGGGTTTAGGGTCGAAGGAACATGGATCACACGAATTGGGAAGCCTGAATAACTCGGCGCAGAAGTAAAGCATGATCTACCGAACAAAGCCCTAGCCCAGCAGATTTCTTCGGAATTCAGATTCGTTCAGAATCCCTAGTACAAGCATCCATCGCGAGAGCCTGAATTAGGAAGTTTATGACCTTGTATGGAGTTTCAGAGTGCTCCACATGACAAGTTGTATCGTTGTTGTTCACGTTCCGGCTTCGAGGAGCTCTACACCAATGTCCTTGTTCAGAAGCATTCCGGATGGCATTCGGCCCTTGTGTGGATTTCGGGCTTGGGAGCTTTGGGGGCAGGCGTAGGATTCAGGCAGGCCCTTATCCCAAACTGCCAACTCTAAGCACGGAGCCTATACACCCTAAACCCATAACCCCGAACTCCTCTCCAGATAATCTCCAAACCTTGGATTGGAGCCCTGATCCTTGAACACATGCAGAAACCCCCAAATGCGCTGCAGTCTTTTGTTGTCGGGCGCTTTGGTTCAGGTATGGTGCCGAAAGCAGAGCGCTGATTTTCATCCCTGGGTGCATGTGTATTTTGATATCAGGGCTCCAGTGTTGATAGTTGTTATTGAGACTTTGCTTTGAAGTCGCGTTCCTGGGCGTCGTCACCTCGGAGCCTCGCCCAAGCGCTGCCCTTGTGCCTGATGTGGATGGCACTATTTGAGAAGCCGCTGCGCCAATCCGGGGAAAACCCAGATGAGAGGTCAACAGCAGCATGTCGCGCATGCTGAGGCTCAAGTGTGACGGGAGAACAAAGCAAAGATATCCAAACTCTGAAAGTGGAAGCCTTACAAGCCTACCCCTTCGAGCCAAGGTGCTGCCCCGCGTTCCGGAGCGACACGCCCCCAACGCAAAGAAGCTCCAGGTACGACCGTGCCATTACAGGATTTGAGCGGCTTTAAGGCACGGATTAAGGCTTGAACCTGAGAGGAGGCTCAGATGCTCGGAAAGATGTTCATGGAGCCATCAACTTCATCAGTTTGTTTGCAAGAAGTCTTCAGGAATCGCTTGTAATGTTTGCGTTCCGGGTTGAAGGCAAAATCAGCATCCTTTACCCTGCGAGGAGCTTTGCGGGATTGAAAGCTCCGAACCCCCTGGCCCTAGACCCTAAACCGGAACATGCGCAAAATTCGAAAGCACGAAACGCCAGAATCCGAAATGAAAGCCTGAAGCCTCAAGAAACCCAAACGCCAAAGCTGGAGCCTCTCAAACTTTAAACCCGAAAGCTTCCGCCCTCAAAACATTAAACCCCAAAGCCTTGCTTATCAAGCCCTAAACACACAATCGTGGCAATTTCAGGTGCCCACGATTCCCACGACTGTGAAGCAAGAGCCGGAGCCCGTGAAGGCGCCACAGCGACTAGAAGAGAGGATTTGTTTAGGGGTTCGGGGGTCAGGGCCAGGTCGCTATAATAGGTCTAAGGCACAATCTGTTGGCAGTGCGGTGTAGGGTTCAGGATGTAGAGTTTTAGCTTCAAGCTTCGGGTTGGGGCAGTACCGGAGAGCCGCAGATACCCGAAAAAGAACGCGTCATGAGATTGTTCACTCCCATCAGTATTGACAGCGATCGAGCTCGTTCTAGTCACTGCTACTGCTGCTGGCTGTGCCAGACAGGTTCGAGCAGTAGACCGAGGGTTGAGAGTGAGCTTCAGTAGCCCCGAACAGTCAGACTCCGCCAAGGCCTAGATCATAGCTGGACTCTGCAAGCCCTGGCTTTTGATTTTGTCTACTATATGAACAATAAAAAGGCAGAGGCTGTAACTCTAGACAGAGAGAGAGAGAGAGAGAGAGAGAGAGAGAGCTTCTGTTGGGTCCACGCCTCAATAGCTTCGTAGGTAAGCTGAATCTCCTGGGAATGTACCCACCATGATATCCGTCTGCGGCAGAGGAACTCGTCAATTAGGAAACGCTATGTATTCCTCACGCTGGAAGCTAAACTCAGCTAAACCCTAAATGCCCAAACCGGAAACCCTCAAACCTGAGCCCCGGACCGCTGTTCTGCAGGTGCCGCTGGCACCCACGCTTCCCACGCTCTCGTTGGTCGGAACGGCAGCAGGTGTCAAGGCATGGGTGATTTTTTGTTGACGGTCGGGGTATTCGTGCTCGCATGGAAGCTACAACGGGATGGTGCTGGGTTTTGTTCCTGTACCGCAGGTATCGCGCTGTGCTTTCTGGATGTGGCAGGATTGCAGCATGAGCGGTGAAGCCCCAGCAATGAAAGTCATCATTTGGCACGGTGCCCTAGAGCTGAAGCCTAACGGCCTAGGTCCTTAATGAACACGAATGCACGTTTCAGCCTGCTGTTGCAGTGGTCGCACCAACTTGACAGTTTGGGTCGGCTCCTACGGTTTCGGGCCGATTGTTTATGTAGACCGAGTGAATGGGTCAGATGCAGAAACTAGCGACACGACATAGCCCTGATCCGGATGAAGCCAGTTTACCACGGGCAGTAGGGAGGAAGTATACATCTTCACCCACTCCTAAACCCTACCTCAGTAGCCTTTCCTTCTTTCGTAATGCTTTGTGTCGGTAAAGACGCGCCTCAGGCTAGAAACCAATTCGGGCACCAGCCCTCCTTGCAATGTTGATCTCCGAGACTGACCTCAACAACCCAATCGGCAAGTCCTAGCAGCAAACCCGGAACAAGAACCCTGACCCTTGAAGTAAAGAACACCTCAGTTCCTGGAGGAGGAGATGAAAGAGGAGGAGTCATCGGAGTCCAGTCTGCTGCAGGCTTCTCGGTCCTTGATTTGGAGTTTAGGACTTTAGGACTCAGAAGTCATAAGACGAAGTCGAGCTCATCCATCTTGCTCTCTATGGTGGGTTACTTGGCGCAGTCTAACCTGACGTTTGAGCCCATCGCAAGAGATTTGAGAAGTAGGGTGACTATGCTAGGTGCCTGAGGCCGTGAATTAAAGGCTTCTCGCTTGAGACATGTTCGATTTCACAGTTTTCACAGGCCGTTTACATCTTCAGTGAGTCGTGTGTCGAATTCGACATTCGAAGCCTAGAAGAACCCTGTGCGGTTGACCAGTTTCCTGCGTATTTTAAGAAATAGGCAAGCTGTTGACGAAGTGGAGAGCATGGGGCATAGGTAGCCTCTGGTGCGACAGTATGCGACCCAACAGTCCCAAACTCAGTAAACCCTTAAAGCTATGAAGCCTGAAAGCCCTGAGCCCCTTCAGCAACGAAACGCTGTAAGCCCTGCAGGCCTTCCGAATCCTGCCCTGCAAGCTCTACACCTCAGCAGAAGCTGTCCGCCAGGAGTCGATGGCTTTTCGCGCCGAAGCGCCCGGAGGGCGGGTCGGCCAGGTGGGGATTGCAGTTTTAAGGGTTGGAGGTCGAGGTGCTGAAGGTCCGCAGGCTCCAGAGTTTAAGATGCTTTAGGGTTTAGGGGCTTGCATGAGCTAGGGTTTAGACGTTCAGGGCTACTGGTGGTGATCTGGTTGCAGACTGCAGTATCAGGCCCGGTGCGGCATCCGTAAGATAGATGTGTGCGGTATTGAACACTTGCCTGGTAACAGCTTTTTCAACATGATCCTGGCATGCATGACGATGTTGCGTATGAACAAATAAATACTTAGTGTCTGAATTCTATTTATGAACACGTTTCTGCAAGCATGCATACAAACATTCAGACATACAGGCTGATAGACGGACAGACAGAGAGACAGACATGCATATACGCATACACGGGTACATACATGCAAAAACCTACGACTACTACTAGTGCTGCTACGACTACTACTTCTTCTACTTCTACTTCTCCTTCTACTGCTACTGCTACTGCTACTTCTACTACTGCTACTGCTCCTACTACTACTAGTATACTAGTACTAGTAATAACTACTACTACTACTACTACTACTACTACTACTACTACTGCTACTACTACTACTACTACTACTACTGCTACTGCTACTGCTAAGACTACTGCTAAGGCTACTGCTACTGCTACTGCTACTGCTACTGCTGCTGGTACTGCTGCTGCTACAGCTACAGCTACAGCTACAGCTACAGCTACTGCTACTGCTACTGCTACTGCTACTGCTACTGCTACTGCTACTGCTACTGCTACTGCTACTGCTACTGCTACTGCTACTGCTGCTACTACTACTACTACTACTACTACTACTACTACTACTACTACTACTACTACTACTACTACTACTACTACTACTACTACTACTACTACTACTACTACTACTACTACTACTACTACTACTACTACTACTACTACTACTACTACTACTACTACTACTACTACTACTACTACTACTACTATTACGACCACTATTACGACTACTACTACTACTACTACTACTACTACTACTACTACTACTACTACTACTACTACTACTGAACTACTACTACGACTACTACTACTACTACTACTACTACTACTACTACTACTACTACTACTACTACTACTACTACTACTACTCACACTGGGTTAACCCACCACCACTACTACTCATTAGAATCATAGCAATAAATTGCTACGACAGCAACAACTGCTGCTGCTGCTGCTACTACTACTACTACTACTACTACTCCGGCTACTACTACTACTACTACTACTACTACTACTACTACTACTACTACTACTACTACTACTACTGCTGCCACTACGACGACAGCCACGGCCACTACGACGACAGCCACGGCCACTACGACTTATATTTATGCAGTTTAGTTCCTTTGCTTCTGTCGTGATGCGGGTCTGCTCGTCTTCGTGCCTAAGGTTGGTCCCGGTTGTGGCAGGGACTTTTTACCGATTCTGCAGGAGTTGACCCGACAGCCCTGCACCCTAGACATTGCAAGGTCTCCGACAAACCGCGGGAGCCTAGAGAAAGCAAGGAGCTGACATCATCTGCCGCTTTCGAGAGAGGGTTAGGGCAGACTGTTGTCTTGAAGTCGAGCCGATCATGCTTCAAGGGACGACTGCGATGATCGTCCGTACCCCTCTTGCAATCAGTGCTTTCAGTGCCTTTGTCATAAACCTGCATCGTATTCAGTTTCACTATCGGCATCGGAATGGTTGCGGCTGCAGGAGCAGCCGCAGCAGCAGCAGCAGCTCCTGCGGGGGCAGGAGCAGCAACTGTGCACCTTGAGCACACTAAGTCTGCCTCGGGTTCCAATTTGCTCTTGACTTGAGGGCACACTGCCGAATTCAATCAGTAATGTCAACGAAGTAATTCATTTCATGGTTTTGGATGCTCTAGAAGGAAACACCCGGCCCCTGAACCCGAAACCCCAAACCAGAACACCCTGAGCCGGCCTTAGCCGAGCTGTTCATAGCTTTGCCCGAAGGATGTTGCGACTGAGGGTTGTAAGCATGTGGGCGTCGAGGCTTCAATCCCCGCACGCGACTGTTTGAAGGGCTAGAATTCACGCTTGCCGAAGCTCAGGTCCAAAGCCACGAAGCATCGGAGAGCCGCGGTTTCGTCTGAAATCCCTTGAGCCTTCAACCTCAACCCAGCACCAGACAAGATCAACAACCCTGAAATAACAGAACTTCTGGAAGCTGCTTGAAGCATTCCTTGCCGAGGAGCCCAAAGAGCCCAGTCCGGAGTCTGCCAATGCCGCCCAGGATCGTGGCAGACATAGAGGGAAGGGAGGGGCTGTGTTTCGTGCATCGAATTTCATATTTGTACATACAGTATATACACACATATATATATATGTATATATATGTATATATATATATATATAGATGGTTTGTGGTTTTGCGAACCCCACCAAACCAAACGAAAGCAGTGGATATTTGAGGCGGTGGGTATGTGATCTGCAATTCTGTGGCTGGGTTAAGCCCACCCCAAGGATCCTGGGTACAGGCCTCGGCCCCGGTACAAATCGGTACAAGTTGTACGGGCAGGATCGCAGATTCCCAGATCCAAGATTGCTGCGGAGTCTTTTCTCTGGGAATCTCGGATACCGGAGCCAGGTCAGGCACAAACCGGTACAAGTTGTACCGGACCGGGCTCCGGGATTCAAGATTCCAAGAAAAGTCTCCGCAGCAATCTTGGATCTTGGAATCTTGGATCCCCTCGGAACCGGTTGTACCGGTTTGTACCGGGGCCATGGCCCGTATCCAAGATCCAATACCTTTGAAGCAGCTAGAGTTTAATGGTAGGAGATGAACTGGAATAAGAGGGTCCTATTCTATCACCTATCTGGGTCATTTGTTCCTGTTTCGTCTTGTTGTACATATTTGAATGAAGGTCAAGAAAGGAACCAAGTGGAATGCACGCTTCATGGTTTACTTCTAAACATGGTGAGAACCGCAAAAGAGCTCAATTGAGCAGCGTTTTTTTTAGCTATGTTGGAATTTATATAAACCAGAATATCCGACATGATCCAACATCGTGCGCGTAGCCATTCTCCTTGAGGCGCGTAGATGCGCGTAGGCCTTGCGTAGGCCGACCTGTTGCGTAGGCTGCGTAGGCTATGTTTTGAAATGTGCTAAGATATAGGAGCAAGAGGTTTGTTTGTGCCATATTTGAGTCTTTCTCCTGTTGAGCAGACTGCAGTTAGTACCACGTATTACAATTAATCGAAGTCGTGCCATGACTGCATCCTAGGGCACGTGGGCCCATGCAACATAATAGAGTTCCAGTTCCGTAAGTAGTTTTACTACAGGCCTCGAGGAGGTCCAAAATCGGATGTAGTTGATTGCACTTTGCGTAGGCACGGCGTAGTCCTTGCGTAGGCTGCGCGTAGCCTTAGGAATCGCTTTCTCAATCATTTATGTTGACCTCCTTACTTGGATTTCCGGGTCTAGACTTGCGGCTGCTGGATTGAGGTCTTTGCAGGGTGTTTCTTCGATTTTTTCACGCAGCCGGCTATATCTACACGAAAGCAGAACACACCTAAGGCTTCGACGTTTTGGAAGACAAATCCTCCTAGGCCTCCGTAGCGCGTAGGCTTGCGTAGGCCATCATAGCTCGAGATATCTCTGCGTAGGGAGCTTTCCGCATGGTGGGCCTGGATAGCGCGTAGAGTGGCGTAGCCCAGCGTAGGCTCTATATGGATAAGAACCGCCCATATAACGAAAAAAAACACAGCTCAATTTCATGTAATGAAGAAGAAGAAGAGCTTTGTAGTGCAGCCGCCGCAGGTCGACGTCGCACAAAAAACGGAAAGAAGGGAAAGGGAAAGAAGAGGAAGAAGGACAAGCGCACCACCAATGCCCCAAGTCCTTAGCTGGGAATGGGCTCACAGAGCCAGTCCTTAGCTGCGGAAGGACCTTAGCCAAGGTTTAGAAGGCACAGCAAGAGCAACCGCTCAAGCTTCCTCCAGAAGAGCCGCACCGCACAGCTGACTCAATCAGCCCACTGCGACTCACCTTAGCAGCAGCACCCCGGGGCACTGCTACAGTGAGGGAAGGCCCAAGCATTCCCTTAGCTGGAGACTTCAAGAAGACTCTGCGACGAAGGCCACTCAAGCCTCCTCACGCGGAGCAGAGTGAGTGCACTCCCACAGCTGCTTCTGACACCTGACCAGATGACGGCGAACCTTAGCAGTAGCATCACGAGAGACGCTGTTGACCTTCCACCCGAAACGAGCCACAAACGGGTTAGAGGGCCTAGCAGGCCTGTCAAGGAGAGCTTCAGGGGAACAGCATTCCCAAGTGATATGCTGCCACGTGCCCAGACGACGACACCCAGGCCAAACGCAACAGGAGGACACGTGTTCCGGACGGCCACTCACAGCACGCCAAGTCGCAGGACTGAAGGAAGCTCCCAGGGCAACCGTGGCAGCAGGAGCTGCACTCAAGGCCCACTTCCTCACGTCCTCCCAATCAACATCCGGGAAAGCAGCTCCGCCAACTCCTCGAAGAGACAGACCGCGAACTTCATGCCTGCCACTTGCAAGCCAACGCGACGCACACCAAGCTCTCCAACCAACCCGGACCTGATGTTGCAGAAAGTCGTGACGGTTCCGCTGCGGAGCAACGGGAGTTGTCAAGTCAAGATCAACAGCAGAAGACACATGCTTCCACCTCCAAGGCGCAATGAGAGTCCAACCACGCTCAAGCAGCCAACCATGCAAGGCGGCCGAAGGCGAACCGCGCAATAAGGACCAAGGCAAAGGAGAGATGGCAGAGCGCTTAGCCAACGCACCAACAAGCCTGGTGGCCCACAAGCAATCCAAGTGCACATTGGCGCCAAACACCAAAGCCCGAACCCAGGGGGACGAGTATCTCACCCTATGGGCATGCTTGAAGAGGCCCGTGAACACCTGCTTAGAGAGCTGCAACGTGGGAGCGCGAGCAACCCAACCATAGTTGGCCTTCGACATAGCAAAGACTTTAGCGGTCCCAAGGTACTGACGCAAGTGCATACCAACACACGACAGCAAAGCAAGCGTAGTTCTGGTGGCCTGCCCACGCTTCGCTTCTTGCTCCGTCAAAGCACGAGGAGTAGTGTAGGTGCTGGCCCCAAGGGCTTGGACAACCTTGACCACACGGTCCGCAGGAAAGCAAGCCTTCAAGTCAGCAACTTGCTTGGCCGAAGCCCCAGCAGCCCAGGACTTCAAGGTGTTCTCAACCAAACCAGCGCGACGACTCCACTGAAGCCAAAGGTCCCAAACGCAAGCCAAGCGCCTAGGACAAGCATCAACGACAGTGCGGTCATCAACGTAAACCTTAGTGAAGGAGTCAGGGGCCGCTCTGTGCGCAGCAGCAGCCGCGGAGCGCCTCTTAACGACCTGCAGACCGGCTTGAACCCAGAGGGACATAATGAGCGGACCAAGCGGATCTCCTTGCGGCTGGCCGTAGCCTCGGAGAGCCTGAGGCCTGCAGTGATGTTTCCACTGAACGAAGCGCAACTGATGACACCAAGCACTGCGCAACATAGCAACAACACCAGGCGGCCAACGCAAGTGTTGCAACAAGCGGATCGACACTTCAGCATCAAGCGTGTCAAAAGCCTTCGTAAAATCCAACGTAAGGATATGCTTCTTAGTGGCAAATTGATGCATAACTTCAGACAAGGTCACACAGATGTCCTCGCCCGTAATGGCACCAATGTCAACAGTCAAGTTGTTGCTGCGCCAAGCTTTGAAGTCAACCGACTGATACCACGCAGAAGAAAACAAACGCCACCACACGCTAGCGATGCTGATAGGCCTGACATCAACAACGCCCACCGAGCCCTGCTGGTTGCGCTTCTGAGCTTTAGGGATGCAAACCATACGGCTCTGCTGGAGCTGCAAAGGCACCGACCCTTGATCATGCCACGTCTTGACAAGCATCTCAAACACGCGAAAGGCCTCGAACGGCAAATGCTTAATCTCAGAGCTATGCCATCCGTCAGGACCGCCAGCGCCTTTAGCCTTGCGGGCAAGAGCACACAGGTCCAGGTCTTTAGCAACAGGCAACGACAACGAAGCAGGCAACAGCGGTCTGTCGACACCTTCAAGCACGGCCGCACTCCGCTCCTCAAAGCTAGGCCGCTGACTACGCAGATCGCGCCAAAAGTCGTGCCAAAAATCAGCGATGGCATCAGCAGCCTCACAGACAGTCTCAGTGTGACGCCCATGCTGATCAACAAGCCCCTCAGCGGGCGGAGTGGCCTTGGACCTAAGCCAATTACCAAGCTCACCAACATCACTCTGGACCCGGTGCCTCCACTCGCTCAAGCGACGAGTCTTTTCCTGCTGCTCCTCTTTGCGGAGGACCTCTTTAAGAGAGGACACTTGAGCCCTGGCTTCACTCAAAGAAAGGTTACCACAACGCTGTCTCAAGCACCGGAGGTTACGCAAAGTCTGCTCACCCGCAATGTCATCTGCCTGCTTCGTTAAGCAAGATATATAATCGCAGAGGCGAGCCAAGCGTTTACGCAACTTACGATGTCGCATGGCGCCGTGTTCCTGCCTCGGTCCTCGACACGGCAGCGACTCCCACGAGACTGCAGCAACAGCCCCCTTAGCCGCAAGCCGCTTCTTGAAGGGCCCAGCAACTCCGCACTCCCGAAGAGCAGCAGCAAAGCAACCCTGCAAGCAACCCTGAAACTCATCCCAAAGTTCCTGAACCCTAAAGTCAGAGCCATCAAGGAGCTTAGCGTGAAGCACAGCGACCTCAGTAGAAGCGTTCCAGGCCCGCTCGAGAGCAGCCCTCCAGTCCTCGACACTGATGTCCTTAGGCTTTCTCAAGTCTGCCACGCGAGGCAGCACTCCAACCTTGGTATCTGGGCTCGGCGCACAAAAGTCAACCACGAGGCCCTTGTGGTCGCTAAGACGCCAAGGAGCGAAGCGAACAGCAGAAAGGAAACTCAGCCTATTAGAGCAAAACCAGTCTATTTCTCTGCATCCTTCCCATCGCGTGGGAGCTCCAACAGTCCAAGGGCGTCCACTAAAACTGTGAAGCAGGTCAGCGACAGCAGAATCAGTTGGAAGCTCATTGAAATCCCCTCCTAGCAGCCACGCATGTGACTGCTGGAGGGCCTCCTCGATGAAGACATCGTGAAGAAGCTGAGCGGCCTGAGAGGGACCTTCCTCTCTAGGATGGGCGTAAACACTCATCAAGAGCCATCCATTCACGAAAGCTCCCACAATCTGTGCACTGTCAAGTGCCTTAGCGACAGCAGG